GAAGGACTGCTGATGACCCTGATCTCTGGAGTAAGGGAGCAAGAATCTGATGTTATGACCCCGTGTTGTTAAGTAAGCTCCCCTTGGTACAAGGTATAGTTTTCGTTTCTATTGCAATAAGATGGTGAACAATACGATAAAGCACGATAACCTTTGCTTTATTTCTGCGCTCTTGTAGTGTTGGCCACTGTAGATCTTCGAGGTTCCAATGTGTTGATTCCATGATAAATTGCTACTGATGTTGAGGCCTAGATATTTTGCTGGTTTTACTGTGGCTAGATTCTTTCCATGGATGGGGTAGTTTCTTATTATCGGTTTTCTTTTGACAGGTCGTACCGATAATGTAACGTAAGACAAATGTAGACTGGCAATTCATATTAAGACATAACTTAGCAAGTATACAGGAATAACTGGGGTATGACAGAAGAAATAGCAAGTAAACATACTGAATCCAAGAAAATTCACACATGCCCTTCGGGCATGTAGTTTGAGAATTTTCACATGCTTGCTGGCAAATTTACCAGGTCCTGGGCATGGGGCACCCAGGTTATTTTGAAGACAGCATTTTATAATTTAAATACCGGTAGATATTATTGCGCCGTGTGATTAGGTCACGTATTGACCTCTGACCTCTGATAAACTTCATACAGAATTGAGGATATTTTCTCTCTGTATGTTTATATAATGTAGAGATACCCCAAATGTATATATTATACACATGGGCGGAGACATTTAAATCATGTACTATATAAGGGAAGACATAGTGAGCGTTAGCGTGAGATAAGAAATAATAAACAATGTAGTACAGGTTAGAATAATGTTGAATTTTATTTTGCACTATCCGTATTCTTCTTAATTTGGGAAGGGTGTGGGGGAGGTTGTGGTATAAAACATCATTGCAAAAGCTCAAAGGCTTCTTGAGATGTTATAGGGAAATGAGAGTGTTATAACAGTATTTTGAATTTATGACTTTGACCTTTGACATTTTGACCTCAAAATCATTTAAGTGTCTTCCTTAGTCCATATGGAGTTGTATAAATTTTCCTTGCAAGAACTCAAAGGCTTCTCAAGTTATCTCATGGATATCACCAAATTTCAGTGGAGGACAACTTATTTATCTCATATGACATACACATTTTCCAGTATGATCAATTAATCAGTATTTAACTCAGTTTAACTGAGAGTGTATGTGCAAGTCTTCTTTTTCAGAATTGATGCCTCAGAAGATGATGGTCCATGGCAAGACTTATAAACGATGAACATATAAATCCAAATGCTAATATAAAGGTAATTCATGAGGAGTTTGCAGATCCCCGTCTCTGCCTTTTTGCTGTTAATGACATCAAAGCTGGTGAAGAAATCAGATACAACTTTGGAAAGAATGTTGATTTTTTTGGTGAAAAAAGGTTAATAAAATTTCAAATCATAACTCCAAGGGTACGGCGGGGCCACAATATCCGACCAAAGTTTTACATAGAAATATATACATGCAAATTACACCGACCCAAAAAGAAGATGAGGAGATGGATTTGCAATATATTAATTTTTGTCTTATATTTAATCTTAGAAAAATGAAAATAGAATAATGTCAACTGTACTTTAATTTTTTTTTACCTATTATTTATGGTTTTAATAATTATTTTTTAAATTCATATAACTATAAATACAAATTATTATTTTTATATAATCCAATAATATGTGATTAATCGTGATAAAAGAAATATGATTGTGAATATATTTATATTTTGTGAAAGTGAAACTAATGAGTGGTATTATTTTGACTTTCAGGATGGGGCAGAGGGTTTTAACCGCAAATGTTTAAAGGGTACAGTCATCAAAATTATCAAGCAAAGAGGCTTGCAGCATTTCCAATAGATGAAGATAAGTTTGAATTTCAAGTCTTTTAGCAAACATCTATACCAATATTACAAATCGTCACTGCTTGAAAAAACACCTTTACAAAACTTTACTTGCGAAGTAAATTTCATTAAAGGTGCTCCAAAAAGCAAGGTCATCTTTGTATTAACTTTACAAAAAGTAAAGGTGAAAAGGTAACCTTTACTTACCCGAAAAGATATTTAAATATAACCTTTCACCTTTAATGCCATATTAAAGTTCATTAAATATACATATTTTATAAAAGTCTTATTTAAATGCTGACTATTGTTTAATACACTTATACTTTGGATTTTCAGTTAGTTTAAAGAATCTAATCTAGTCAGTACCCAGAATTTTAAGACAAATGTCAAAGATATTTTTTTTAATTATCTTGTATCCATTTCCAGTTGAAATTAGTATTAGAAATGGTCATCTACAGAATCAAACACTCGACTTATCATTATTTGACAGACTACACCTCAAATAATACAACAACTATGCTGTAAGCCAGGTTAGCTTAGTTGGAGCAGCTGGCGTTTATTTTGATACATATTTAACATACATTACATTGAATGTGAAACAATAAAGCACTGGAATGCATTTGTAAAATATTTTACTTGAAATAATTTATACCCCTATCACAGACATTAAAAACCACCCAGGCAAAAACCACAGATAGTTAACTATGGAAAACCTGTGTCCGTCGCTATGTAAATAATGTCTCAAGGGAGAATGCCGGACGTGCATTCAGTGCAATAGTTAAAAATGCACGGACACCCTATAATATTTGCATGTATGAAAAAGTCCAAATTAAAATACATTTCAACAGTTTTGTTATTTCCATTACCAGTATATTTATACAAATATGATATATATATATATATATGATATATAAAGCAAAAAAAAAAAAAATGTGTGTGCATTGAAGAGCACTGGCTTAGAATGATTTGAACTCCTTACTGAATACTCATTTCTCATTGGCCTTCCTTTGGCCACGCCCACATATACAACCAAAACCATTAATATACGTTCCTCTCATACAATGTGTTCCCGCTCTACTACGAAACACGGGAAAAAATATTATCTGCACCAGCATTGCCTACAACTCTCTGGATTGGATGGCATAGATTTTTTATATGTACATTGATATTAATGATATATTAATTATATAATAGTGTTGCATTATGCATGTACTATGCATAAATAGTAGGCAGGGTTTGACACATGGTGCACGAGCCGGAGGCGAGTGCACTATGTGTCAAACCCTGCCTACTATTTAGGCATAGTACATGCATAATGCAACACTATTGTTATTATTATGCTGACTGTTGTTATTATTTATGCGGCAATTCATTTGACTTTTTCCTGAAAATAATGGTGGTAACACAGCGCACTTGCAAAAATCATTCAAAATCTTCACGCTAAAATTAGTTGCATGCTTAGTTATTTTGGCTACTAGTATTTTCTCTAAATAAGTCAGAATTTTCTGTCCCAAAGATACTCATCTTTATTTTCTGTTTTGTTAATAAGACTGATTTGTTTACAGACGTGGATTCTCATTGATAATTTTCTTTTACATCCTTCAATCAAGCGCTATATAAAAAAGCGTTTTAATGACCCTATGATATCAATTCATCTAACGATCTGTATGTAATTAGTTTGAAACTTTGTTGTACACATTTATCTAAGATTCCTTAGAATAAATATAACTGTTTTCAAATAATATTTGTCTATTTTCTCCTTCTTGTGTCAATTGTATTAATTAAGTTTATATATTTAATAAAATTCTCCCAATCAGTGATCGTCTCTGTGGCGTAATCGATAAGGCATCGGACTGGCAACCTCATGGTCGTGAGTTCGATTCCCCGTGAGTGCATTGAAGAATTTTATTCAGAAAATAAGGCCGTGCACTATTTCGGCATAGTATGCTTACTCTATATAAATCCTTAGACCACTATGCGAGAATAGTAGGGTATGGGTTATATAGAGACAAACTGACAGGAAGCATAATAATTAATAATATAACAATGGGAAAAATTGGCATATTGATAATTTTCATTTTCCAAACAAAAATGATCTAAAATATTCTGTATTTTGGCTTCTCATCATATGATGAGTCAGATATACAGCACAAACAATATCCAGTTATAACCTTGAATATAAACATTATATTGAGCTATCTTTGACTTTTGTTTTCCTTTAAACATTCAAATACATGTGAGACAAAATTAAAAAAAAATACAGATGATAAGTATAAATTTCACTTTAAAATATAATACCGGTACAATATTATTTATTCTTTATGGTGCATGTACATATATAAAATAAACTTTGCAGTTTAAATTGAATTAAAAATGGGAAAAAAATTACATAAAAGGCTATTTGATTTGCGCTTATATACAGGCTAATAACATCTTCAACTTGTAATGCAAAATGATGCATTTTAAATATTCACAAACACAAAAAATGGTGAAAAATCTATTAGAATATATGTGAGGATGCAGTTTGCAAAATGCATGAGATCATGTATGAGTCCAGCTTCACCCAGTGAGCCTGTCTGTGCTTGACTTGGTTTAGATTATGTTTTTATGTCTGTGGTATATGTTAGTGTGTTTGCATATGTGTCCAGCTTCACACATTTTCATTTATGTGCTCGACTTCACACGCCTTGGAAAATATGTAATAGGTTGTGGCAGATGCATGTGTATTTGTGTATGTGTCCAGCTTCACACATTTTCATGTATGTGCTCGACTTCACACACCTAGGAAAATATGTAATAGGTTGTGGCAGATGCATGTGTATTTGTGTATGTGTCCAGCTTCACACATTTTCATGCATGTGCTCGACTTCACACACCTTGGAAAATATGTAATAGGTTATGGTAGATGCATGTTTGCATGTATCCAGATATACGCATTTTCATGTGTGTGCTCGATTTACATGTCATCAATGTAAAATATGTAAACATGGTGGTGTAAAACGTTTACAAGTGTATGATGCACACAGAGAAAAAAAAGTTCTGTGTGTTTTGTTCTGCAAGAGTGATCGTATAAATAAATTACAATTATGTCCTGTTGAGAAATTGACAATCATAATAAGTAACATATTCATTTTACTGAAAAATTAAACATCCAGTTTAAATTACTGTACTGAAAATTAAATTTGTGCAAAAACTCTCTGGCTGAATAACATTCAAAATCATGAATGCTTGCATGTTCATCTATAAATCTCCAAGATATTTCCTAGTTAGTTTGTAGCGCCGCACCGAGCAGTCTTACAACACATTTCATAATGTCAGTTTGCATGAATAAATTAATTTATCCTTGTTTTTCATATCTTGAAAATAGATGCCGAAATTCTAGTCTACAGTTTACTTACACAGCACATCACAAATAGAAACATTCAGGAAAAATAATTCACAAAAAATAAAATCCAAGTAAAACAATCACATGTACATATAAGTCCAAGAAATATTAGGTAATAGTCCAAGTAAGTGAGTAACTTTATCTATCTCTAACAGTTCTATCTACTAAGTCTTCTATATTTCCATCTTCCTATCTTATTCTAATATTCTGTCGCACTATATATATACTCAAAATCCGTTCCTGAGGATCAGGAGCACATTACAAGATCCTTAAGATCAGGAGTCAATACACAGGTCATTACGATCAGCAGGGGGTTAGATAAGAGGGGGCGATTAATATACAGATAAGATTTATAGCATTAGTGTAGATGATAATGTGTGAACAATTAAGTAATGAAGAGTGATTTACAGATAACATATTTTAAATCGTTACAAGTTTACATATTCTTGATCATATCATTGATAAGAGTATATATTCTTGATCATGACATCTGTATTGGATTCCCCTCTCTGACATCTTTTCTTGTTCACCAATTAGTTCAACAATCATCTAGGTACTCAGGTGTTGTACAAGTCCTAATAATAATCATTTTCAAAATTATAAAGAAAAACAATACAAATTTTAAAGAGGTTTTCATTACTTCTATTGAAATTAAAGCACAAGCTTTTGAAGACATACTTAAGTAACTTAAAACACGTATAACTAAACATAATGGAAATTTAGACAATGCGACTCAATGTCAAACATATGATAGTGATACATCTGTAATATCCATGAAACTTACTGAAATACTTAAAATGTTTGTGGCGTGCTTTCACTAAGCTAAGCAATATATAAACATTTCTTGATTACACGCTGAAGTCCAAGGCTTAAAAAAAAAAAAAGTTTGTTTCCTGTAACATTCCCAAAAAATCAAGGGTCGGTAGGTCGAAATTTTTTTTTTTTTGCTTATGAATGGTGAAACATCCCCAGACTGAAAATACCAGGTGTTATATTTACAGTGGACACCCAACATGGCATCCAAAATGGCTGCCTAGCGGCAGAAAACAAACTTCAGAAAGTTGTAGGGGGAAACTGTTGTTACAATAATGATTACTCTTTATATTTAAGGTAAATGTAAACTAGGTTGACATATTTTATGTCTCAAATAAAGCTACAAGCTATTGTTTTCATTTAATAAATGGAATCAGCTGATTGATCAAACAAAGTTTTGCCATTTGTCAGAGATAAAAAATCCATCCAGGGATAATTTGAATGGGTCGGTTGGGTTACAGGAAACAAACATAATTTTTTTAGGCCCAATCCTCACCTGACTTGCACATTTATATGGATTGGTTCTATGCTGATAATTCCTTTCAGCAATCTTCATCACAACATCTGAAAGTCACCCATCTTCAAAATTAAATCTGCCGCTCACCTCAAATGTATATAGACTCCCTGTACAAATGCATGGAAAATAAAATTTTTGAATAAAAAATGAATTACCTCTTCACCATACCCGGCCTCTTTAAAAAATGTGAGAAAATAATTTAAATACTTTTCTTTAGATAAAATCATGTAGTGAGTATCCAGCAATGGTGAAAAAAAGTTATCTCTAGAATTTTACGTTTATATTGAATGAAAAATGCAGTGTTTCCTCTACTTAAAAAAACTCAAAAGACATTACCTAAAATGGAAATGAGGTACAACTGTGACTAGTGTCTCAGGCACAACCAATAAACACAAGACCTTTTCATCCTTAGCAGCATGCATTAGCTCCACATTCCTTTATTCTACAAAATATATAATTTTACATTTATATTTACATATATTTACATTGTTCCCTCTACTTAAAAAAAAACTCAAAAGACATTACCTAAAATGGAAATAAGGTACACCTGTGACTGGTGACTCAGGCACAACCAATAAACACAAGACCTTTCCATCCTTAGCAGCATGCATTAGCTCCACATTCCTTTATTCTACAAAATATATACAATGAAAATTATAAAAAAAAAAATGAGAGCGAAGAGTGTTACATGTACTTGGGGGAACAGAGGAAGGAATTGAAGTCAGATTAATTATATTTCTGCCAGTGTTGGGACGGATAAATTTCCATAATAAAATGAAACGAATTATTCGTAACAAATAAGACACATGTATTACCTTGCAGTCACCATCGCACATTATGTAAACATACAACTGACAACATCCCAAATCCCTTTCTTTGTTGTTTACTTGGCGGAATTTTCTTTGCCTTTTAGACTGGTTCCCATACATTGCCGTGAATAAGTCCTACGTGTATTGGTTTTGTTTACAAGCTTCAATATCAATAAAATCTCCCGCACATTTACAGTCTGTATTGTAAACTGCTAAAACATACTTTACACACAATTTTCAGCTCAGTATTATGTTATCCTCTTCATTCAAGTAATATGTAAACTCTTCTCGAATGTAAAACGAACGATCTACTCTGATAAGTAACCCAAATATGGCACTGTGTATTCGGTGAATAGCCAATCATTTCAAATCAAGTGGAGCGGGTCTGCATCGCTATTTTCACGAAGTTTGCAACCTGTGGTAATTTTTTGAAACCTCATCTAGATTTAAGGAGATTCTTGTCCTGACAACTGCTCGAACTCCCGGATTGGCATGCACTGCAGGTTTGTTTACGATTTCCAGCTGTTTTCACCATAGGCGCTTGGGTCAAGGATACTGTATTTTTTCTATATAGTGTATTGTCGAGGAAATTCGAACTATACTCGTAACAATTTTTTTCAATGTGCAGGGTTAATTTTTAGTTTTTTGTATACCTTTCTGCTTCATATACACTAGAATGTCAGGAAATTCGATTTTATGCACGCTTTAAAATTGACACATCCCACTGTATACTAAAAAGAAACGTTTCTTTTTAGTATACAGTGGGATAAGTCATTTTTAATGCGTACATAAAATCGAATTTCCGTGACATTCTAGTGTATATGAAGCAGAAAGGTTTACAAAAAACTAAAAATTAACCCTGCACACTGAAAAAAATTGTTACGAGTATAGTTCGAATTTCCTCGACAATACACTATATAGAAAAAATACAGTATCCTTGACCCAAGCGCCCATGGTTTTCACTTTCAGCATAGATCAGTACATTGTGCATACATGTAGTGAAACAATGAAAGTCAGGCAAATCTTCGCTGTATATGTTATTTACTGCCAGAATGTTAGATTAGTATTTTGATAATTTGGGGATTAAATGTTTATGGGTTTCAGTTTATTCTGTAAAGGTGTATGTCTCTGGAATATTAAACAAGACAAAGAAAAACAATTCTGGAGTGGGACTAAAATGAGTAGTTAAAACCGAGCCGGGCCGGGAATTTGAAACTGAAACCGGGTTTTTGCTAATTACTGAGAATATACACAATCAGTTGTCATAAAACTTAGTTACAGTTGTATTTATGCCTAGGCTGAGAGTTTCAACTCCGAAATTGACAAATAAGTTTATTTTATTTAAAACATTTTGTAATTTAATTGTGTCCATTTTGTTAAAATACAGGTTGAGTGAGATCAGTATGCAGATTGTTGAAGGGAAAACATCAAGACGGGGCGAGGAAGACGACAAAACATGATTGAGGATCCCAAAGTTCTTTGGTACAAGCACATTTTTAAAAAATCAAATAATAAGTATCATGAAATGCTACTTGAACAAACATTTACATTATTTAGTGCTTGACTTGCTCGGGAGTCATTATTGTCAAATGTATTTGTATAAAATGTTCAATTTCTTTTGTATAGGCTCAAGCTACTCAGCCTACCATGAGAAAATTAAAAGATCTGCCATGAAGAAGAGGCGGGTTCTCAAGTTTCATATTATAGATGGCAAGTATTGTTTAGATTTAATTTTAAAGTAGTCTTGATAAAAAAAGGGTTTGGCAGTTCATAGCTATTAACTGTGATTGCATTGTGTATGAATTTTCAAAATCAATTCATTCTTTGGTGACTATATATTTGTCCAGGTGTATGAAATGTTAATCACTGTATGAATTCTATTTCAGCATGATTGTCATCTTCAATTTGAGGGAATCTCACCTAAAGTCCTTTTACTGTTCCATATCAGGAAAAAGTTCATGAGCAGAAACATGCTATTTGGGAAAAAGGTACATATATCCTAAACCATAACTTGAGTATGATTCAGTACACATGTACAGCTAAGCTAAATATGTAGCACTATTATGTTCTCTTTGTAAACTGACTACTGAGTAGTCAGGAAAACCTATCATTTCTTTATGTTTAGGGATTTGTTCTTTGATTGTGATAAGTACCCTTAAAAAGTACATAATTCTCAAATTGTAATTTCAGGCATTAGGCTTTTTGTGATAAGGGATACATGTCCTAACCCATTGATTCTTCATATAATATGTCAATAATAAGAGGTCCAGTCATCTTATTAAATTAATACAATTTTTATTTTTAAGGTTAAAGGTCATGTATGAACTTTTTATTTATTAATTAGGTTGTGCATTGTTTTTAGTTTTATTAATCATGGTATTGTGAATTCTGATAACAGATGCCTTTGAAAATATTCATACTTATGCATAGCACTGAAAATATACTTATAGATTTTTTTTCATTTAGGAAAAGCATTAGAAGAATGCCTGCATGGGAAGAAAAGTTTTGGACTCTGAAAATGGAGATGTGACAAATACATTTTGACAGTTATTGATTTCCACTGAAACCAATATCCACAAGAAAGAGGAACATAGTAGTTTTATGTTGATTCACAACTTTAAATTCAAGAATGTACAGTTGGTTTTATTATAAAACATGTCACGTACAAAACATTTTCGTGAAATGTACTCTGTCTTCGATACTTATTTATGTGTATGTGATTTGCAGGATAGGATGTGGGAAACATATACTGTTAAGAATCTTGATGTTTTTGATCTTATGTTTGTAAAAAAAAATTGTAATAAACAAAGTTAAAGTCAACTTTTTGTTACTTTGTATATATTAATTATGATGTCCAGACTTCCAGGGTATCGACTTGGAAGAAAAATCTTATTTATGAATTGCATAAGGCTTTATTCACTAGAATGGAAAACAGAAATTATTAACTTTTGTGGTAATTAAAGATGGTATTTAATTAAATTTAAGATCTGTAATTATCAGATTTAATATATCCTAAATATGGTGTTTAATGGTTGTAAATATTAACTTTACTTTTTTGTAAAGTCAAGACAATGTGGGACATTACATCATATTTAAGTGCATGTAAAGTTAATGTAAAGGTTACCTTTTCCAACTTTGACTTTTTTCAGAAAAGCCAATTAAAGGCATTGTAAATAATAAATTTACATTATCTTTACTTGTTTTGTAAAGCCGAATTTTCATGCAGTGCGTCTCAAGGAAAGATGTCAACTGTTAAAACATATAAAATGGTATTGGTACTGTTCATGTAGAGATGCAAAGAAAAATATGGTGATGCAAAAGTCGTCAATGACATCAATTCTGATGAGAAATGCTTTTTGTGGAGTGTGTTAGCAGCATCACATCCTGTAAAGAACAACTCTCCTAGTTCTTAAATAATGAAAATGAATTCAATGAACATGGTATTGAGTTCCCAATAAGAAAACAAGAGGCCCAGGGGCCACATTGCTCACCTGAGCAAATCGGCTAGGAAAAAACACAAATCAGATCAGAACTGAAAAGTTTACTGAAGGGGGGGGGCTTGAATTTAATACTACTTTAGAATACCTTCATATTAATACAGCATATGACTTTGCTGTTCTTGATAAAAAAGATTTTTTAAAAACATTTTCTTCCTATACTATCACTAATCATTGCTTTGAAGTACTTGAGAAGAAGATTTTCCTATAAATTCCTGTGTAAAACTTTGATCAGCCATTGTGGCCCCATCCTACCCCTGGGGGTCGTGGTTTCTACAAACTTGAATCTATGCTACCTGAGGATGCTTCCACATGAGTTTCATCTTTCCTGGCCCAATGGTTCTTGAGAAGAAGATTTTTAAGGATTTTCCCTATATACTCCTATGTAAAACTTTGATCGGCCATTGTGGCCCCACCCTACCCCCGGGGGTCATAATTTGAACAAACTTGAATCTACACTACCTGAGGATGCTTCCACATGAGTTTCATTTTTTTTGGCCCAGTGGTTCTTGAGAAGAAGATTTTTTAAGATTTTCCCTATATACTCCTATATAAACATTTGATCGGCCATTGTGGCCCCACCCTACCCCCGGGGGTCATGATTTGAACAAATTTGAATCTACACTACCTGAGGATGCTTCCACATGAGTTTCATCTTTCCTGGCCCAGTGGTTCTTGAGAAGAAGATTTTTAAAGATTTTCTCTATATACTCCTATGTAAAACTTTGGTCGGCCATTGTGGCCCCACCCTACCCCCGGGGGTCATAATTTGAACAAACTTGAATCTACACTACCTGAGGATGCTTCCACACGAGTTTCATTTTTTTTTGGCCCAGAGGTTCTTGAGAAGAAGATTTTTTAAGATTTTCCCTATATACTCCTATATAAAACTTTGATCGGCCATTGTGGCCCCACCCTACCCCCGGGGGTCATGATTTGAACAAATTTGAATATACACTACCTGAGGATGCTTCCACATGAGTTTCATCTTTCCTGGCCCAGTGGTTCTTGAGAAGAAGATTTTTAAAGATTTTCTTTATATACTCCTATGTAAAACTTTGATCGGCCATTGTGGCCCCACCCTACCCCCGGGGGTCATGATTTGAACACACTTGAATCTACACTACCTGAGGATGCTTCCACATGAGTTTCATTTTTTTTTTTGGCCCAGTGGTTCTTGAGAAGAAGATTTTTTAAAAATGTCATTAATTTTTCATTAATTCATAATTATCTCCCCTTGGAAAAGGGCGTGGCTCTTCATTGGAACAAACTTGAATCCTCTTCACCTAAGGATACTTTGTGGCAAGTTTGGTTGAAATTGGCCCAGTGGTTCTTGAGAAGAAGATGAAAATGTGAAAAGATAACGACGACAACGACTACGACAACGACAGACAACGGACAAATTTTGATCAGAAAAGCTCACTTGAGCCTTCGGCTCAGGTGAGCTAAAAATGCACGATTCCAAAATTTGAAAGTCAAAACAATATATCCATAAGTGTAATTGGATATGATTGATGAAGAAGAATTACCTTTCTATCCCGAATACGCATCCTTGGTCAATAATGCTCGTTTTGAGGTCGATTTCTAAAACATCAAGATGAGTCCGATTACGTCCTAATCCACAGTTTGAATAGTCATTTAGCACATTCAAGATGCAAAGGACATACATACCATTTTTGTCGACATTGTTTTGAAGGATTTACCTCTGAAACCCTTTTAAAGAATCACTTACAGTACTGTGTAAAGCACAACATACAATGTACTATTTTTCCTAAGAAAGGTATTAACGACACTTGAA